TGGTGTCTATTCGGTTTGTTATTTCGTGTTTGTTTCATTGTTCACTTAATTGTCTTAATCGTTTCTTTAATTTTCGTCGGTCTGTTTTATAAAACTTATCGTATTAGTTAAGTGTTGTGTTGAGTTGATTATTTTATGGGATGGTGTAAATAAAATCTTTGTGGAATTTTTGTGTGAAGAGTTTTGTGAAGACATTTGTTGAATGGTCTTCGACAACAATGAGAGTTTTTATTCTCCCATAATGTGATTACATTTCATAAGAGATTGGTAGTTAAATTAGATTCAATTGAATTGAATTTATTACGATACCAGGCGATTGGTTTTGTGAATGTGATATGATGATGATGAAATTAGGGATGATTTGGAAGAAATGGTATCATTTCTTATTTTAAGGAATATCATTTTTTGATTGTTTTAATTGCTATCGTTCAAGGAAATATTATGTGTAACGAGCGAAGAAATTTGATATTTGGTCATGAATTTGAGATCGGAATCGATTTTGAAGTGAATAATTGTAATTGCAATTTAGCTGTTAGTTGGCAAACTTGTTGGTAAAAGATTTTGAACGGTTGAAAGAGTTAACGAGAAGAAGGAAGGGATTCGAGGGCATGAGCGATACAGCGAAAGCTGCTGATGATGCAGCTAGTGCAAGTGGGGAGCAAAAATCGTCCGAAAATTCAGATGAAATAGAGAAAAATGTTAAGGTAATCGTTTTGGGGTTCATTTTTTAAGATATTTCTATTATTGTTCAATTATCTAAAGCAGGGGAATAATGATTGATTTCTAATCGAATCAGGCTAAAAGGTGATCAGAATCTAAGCATAAAGATTATATGTTGTTCAAAGTTCGTTCGTAACATATCGAAAAGCGATTGTAACGTTCGAATGAATTTAGAATACAAAACCGTCAGTAGCATGCGTGTTTGTGTTGAGAAAATGGTGTAAATTTGAAGAATCGCAAGGAATTAAAACAAGGATAAGCCTTCTTAAATAAACAACTAAAGATCCTTAAATAGCTTAAATAGCAGAGTGCGATATAGTAATTTTCAATGAAATATAAAAATTCCAATTGAAAATAATTGAAATATAATAATTCTAAATAAACAACTCAAGATCCTTAAATGTCAGAATGAAATATGAATAGAGAATAAAATAGTAACTTCCTTAAAGTAAGAATCGAGGATGGATAAGTGCCTGAATGGAAAATGATATCATATGTATTGTACAAATGAATCCATAAAACAGATTAAAGATTGAATCAAATTTCTCGAATTATTTAGAATATTCAACGTTGTGTGGTAGATGCTGTGAAGAGTGCGAATTTACTACCGAAGCTATCGGAAGGCTACGAACTATTTGCATCGTTCCCGTTGTATGCACAGTTTATGAACGAACAAGAGAAGAGGGTTCTCAGTCTGTTCGTTGTTTAATCATTCATATTTTTATGTTTTGTTGAATTCTTCTTAAGCGATTGTCTTTTGTTCTATCAGAAATTGAATTCAGCAATTTTGGATTGAATTGAATTAACTCGATTTATTCAGATTTTCTTTGAAAAGGCGCAGTTGACAGTTAAAGTAGAGTTTTATCGTCTTCATTTTGAGTGATTTTAATTTATTTTTTTTTCGCTTCCAGTAAAATTGCATAGTAATTTCAGTCTGCGGTCAGTGATGCGTCAAGCAGGATGTTCAATAAGATTACCGTCGAAAATAGTGGATATTGATGAATTGATTGATAGTATCGCTGAAGGGAACGATTCAATTGTTGAGAAAGTGGTCAGTGAATTTGATTATTTTCTTTTTTGAAGGAAGAAAAGTTCGATTTCGCTTTGTTCGGAGATTTTCATAAATGGATAGGAAAAATTCCTCTTCATCTCCTACGTAGATTCAGTTTCGTCGAAGAATAAGATTAAGATTTGCTCATTCGTTTTAGGATCGATCCTTTGGATAAAGCAAATGATGACAAAAATTTGTAATCAGTAATTGATTGGAGCGAAATCAAAGTTCTGCAAAAAAAATGATTGTGGAAATTTCAGGGTATCCTATTGGATCAACTCTCAAAGAATGCGAATGCCGAGAAGCTTGTAGTTCCCGAACTGGCGATAGGTGCCGAGCATATACCCGATCTTGGCAGTGGAGTAGCAAATAGTAATAGCTTGCGGCAGTCAGGATCCGCAGGTCGTTACGCTGCCTTGTCGATCCGAGCTCAGGCTCTAAGCGCAGCTCGTCTGAATGAATCTTCGACGTCAGCAGCATCGACGCCCAGAACTCCTCCAAGCTTAGAAACAGTGTTCAGTACACCGTGCCTATCGGCTGCAAGGCGACGAATTATCAGATTGAGTTCACCGGTCAGTTAGTTTCATTTATTGTTGTTTGAGGTTACGTGCGATTCACAGTTTTCCGTATTCGAATTTTCTGTATTTTCCGTATGAGGCGATTTTTTCGTATTTAAATATTTTTCATAGTTTTCGTATTTGTATATTTTCCGTATTGAATACAAATTGAAGAAACGACTCTGTCGATATAATCGAATAGAGAGTATAATAGTTTTTGCAGAAAGTGCTTGTTAAACCTCAATTGGCCTATTCAATACCCGTGGACAATAGCGATCGAGAGTTTGTGTCGAAATTGAAGCAAAAACACAATGCACGAAATACGGAACCGCAGGAGGAGCGTTTAAGGATTCGAGATGAACAGCAGGAAGGTGGGGATTGTAGTGGGCGATTGGAGTGGAATAGTGACCAACAGGAGACGGAGAATGAACATCCATATAAGAGCGAATTGGATGGTTTCGAGGTATTTGTTTGGTTGGTTGACGTGTTAAGAGAGGGAGTCATTCGAGAATTATGTATTGAAGACTTTAGTTTTTTAGAATCTGTTATCATGGAGATAGCAATTAGCTTCTAAAATGAGGTATTTATTGAAATTGAGGCTGAGTTATTTATTGAGTTATTTATTTTTTTAATGAGTTCTTTTTTAATTAGGGTTCGCTTGATAAGTTATACTGATGATGGTGAGTATATCATTTTGATGTCATTCTGTGAAGGTCATTTGAGATCAGATTCTATAAATTTCATTTTAAACTTGATAATTGAAGTGCTCTTCTTAAAGATACCCGCGTCTCAGCTGCAGTTAGGTGAAAGACGCCAAGTTAAAGCACTTGAAGACACAGAATTGGTCATGGTTGATACGGTTGAGAAGTTGGAGAAGATGAGGGATGAACTGAATGCGAGCAGTGCATTTGCTGTTGATTTGGAGGTTAAATTTGCAATTTTTGGGATTTTTATGATCATTTTCATGGTTATTATTCTTTATCGTTTGCATTATTTTATTTTTTACCATCATTGTTAATTATTACACAATTCTTTGAATCGTAGTTGAGAAAATTAATTTGTTAATGGGTTTGTTTGAGTTTTTGTTCATTGTAACGGTGGTTTTTGTTGAATTGTCGTAAGACGAGCGATTTCGATGAGAGTCTTTTTATACGATGGAATTTTTTAGCACCACTCGTATCGCTCGTTTCAAGGTCTGACTTGTCTTTTGCAAATTTCAACGTCAACGAAAGATTATATCATTGATCCATTCCCAATATGGAACGAAATGCACATTTTGAATGATCCGTTTACAAATCCGAACATTTTAAAGGTATAATTTGAATGTTTTGTTCAGATTTTCAGTTGATTTAACTGGAAAAAATGGTTATTATTTTAGAGTTGATTCACAGAATTACTTGTATTTCGAAGTGTCTGTGTATGCAAGGATTGTCTCTGTTGGAAATAAAAATTTGAAAAATTTTCTTCGTGTAATTATTAGTGAAATTGTTCAGGGGTTCGTGATTTTTGATTCGTGGAAAGTGATAGGAGATATTTTGGATGTTCGGATTTTTTTTTGTTGGGTTGGTGGCTGATGATGAAACAGCAATTTTGTATTGAGTAGAAAAGTTTTTCAGTTGATTTGATGTGAGAAAAATTTTTTGAATGTTCGATTTCGTTTGATCTCAATGTATGATTTAATTGTAGGTATTTCACGGCTCTGAACATGACGTTCGATGGCTGCAACGTGATTTCGGTATATACGTTGTGGGAATGTTTGATACGTACTGCGCAATGCATGTGCTCAGCTTTGAGAGATTCTCTTTGGCGCATTTGGTGCAGTCGATTTGTAATGTGGTACTGGATAAGGAATTGCAGAAAGCCGATTGGAGAGTGAGGTTGGTTGTATTTGAAAGATTTGAGTTGTTTTGATAGATCTGATCAAAATATATGACACTTGAAAGTTAATTGTAATTAAGTGCAATTGTTTAAGATGTAATAGAGAAAGAAGAAAATTAAAGTTTTATGAGGTCGTTTTCTTACAGTCAAGAAGGAGAACGTTAAAAATTGTCTAGCATCTTCAGAAATATATTATGTCTGATTGTGAGATGAATTAGTGTGTGATGCTGACCACAAGGGAGCTAAAAAAATATTTTCACATTGAATCAACTGAAAATTTTTATAGTGTGTAAAATTAGTGAAGTAATTTTTACGAGATCATTTTGGAATGGTACAGAAAATAGACTCTGTGAACAGAATCAGTCAAAATTAGTGGTTAATGATGCCTGCTTGAGTCGAAAATGAGAAATATTTCAGACCGTTGAGTGCAGCACATTTGGAGTATGCACGTAGTGATACACATTACTTATTGCATTGTTACGATGTGCTGAGACAACAGTTGATCAATCGAGGAAATGAGACGAAAAATTTGTTGCGAACAACGTATAATGAATCTGTATTGTTGTGTCGTAATGTGAGTCCATTTTATTTTGGTGTTTATTTATATATTCTTTGAATATTTTGACTACTTTGAGTGGTAATGTTTTGGTTATATTTTCGTTTTGTTGAGTTTCGATTGATTAGATGATAGCGTGAGCGATCGATTATCCAGGTAGTTAGTTGGAGGTTTTGTTTTTGGATTTAGACCGAAGAAGTTGGAGAACTGAGAAAAATTTGGATTTAGGCCGAAAAAAATTAGAGTTGAATTAAAAATGGATCACTTTTAAAGGTATACGAGAAGCCGAAATTCGACGCAGAAGGTTACGAAGTATTATTGAGAGGCAGAAAATCGTTCAATTCACGTCAGCTGTATGCACTGCGAGAGTTATGGAAATGGCGTGACGAACGAGCGAGAGCAGAAGATGAGAGCTTGGAATATGTGCTGCCAAATTATAATTTACTTCAAATTGCTGAGGTTTTTTGTTTGTTTTACTTTGAACTTTTTTGTGTACCCCGAATATTTCTGAAGGGAATTTTTGTAATATTGAAGAGAAATTTGAAGATAAGCGATGTTTTTTTTTGGTGCGATAAAGTTGGTAATTCTTTCGTTTTGGAACGAGAGTCGATGGAAAAAAGGCTTCTAAAGAAATGAACGATTGTTAAAGTTTATGAGAGATTTGATTATAATTTGGTAGTTTCTTGGGAGTTTTGAATCAAAGAAATCGTCGATTTTTAGGTTTTACCACGTGAAGCACAGGGAATTTTGGCCTGCTGCAGTCCGATTCCACCACTCGTAAAGCAAGAACTGATCACTCTGCATCGTATCGTGTATGCGGCTCGAGATCGCCCTCTGGAATTGAGGCCAACTTTGAATCTGAATCAAGCCACGTTGACGTTTGAATCGTTTGAAACGCAACGTTCAAAAATGACCAAACAGAAAGCGATTTTAAGGTGTGCATAGTGGTTTATTGATTGTAGAGTGTTTTGTGTTAATTTGTGTTAGAATTGGAATTTGTTTCGGATTTGTCGTGTCCTATTGTATTTCCACTTTTGTGGATAGATCGAAGCTGTCGACGTTAGGAACGTTAGTATTGTGTAATATGGAATGTTTTCCATATCTTTAATCTTGTTCGCGAATGCAGTTGATTCTGAAAGATCTTTATAACGTGCGAGTTATTAATTTTTTTATCAAACTGATGAACAATTTCCTCATTGTTTTGATTTTCTTGATAGATTTTGGTCGTTTACAGATCGCATTTGGATTTCTCGATGACGAAGTTTGACGAAGAGATCAGTACATCGCGTTCGATTGATGTGGACGCTGAAGAACTCAGCAAGCTGATCAGTTTGAAGAAAAGCGCTGAATTGTCTTTAGCCGATTGTCAACTACCTGCAACGATGTCGACTGATTTGCAAAAAATGGTTGTTGATGAGAATAAGGAAAGAGGAGAGGAAGCAAGTGATCATCGCGGTGAGGAGGAAGTTTGTGCTGATAAAAGCGTTTATAAGATCGGTCCAGAAGTGGAGTTGGAGAATGAGAAGCGAGAACAACTTCGGGAAGAGTTGTCACAATGGGCGACTCCGTATGAGTGTTTTGTGATTGCGGTGAAGGAACGGCAAACGCGAGAAACTGAGGCAAGCGGTTTGGAAAGTTCTTTTTAGTTATTTACTTTGAATGATATCTAAGATATCCAATTGTAAGATAAAATTGAAAATGTTCTGCTAAATTCAAGCATATCAGATATATAGTATTAGAAAATTCGAATGATTGAACGTATGACACATCTATCTGTATTAGCACTTTCATGCATTCGAATTTTTGAATGAGCGTGTTTGAAGGAAAAGGCGAAGGCAGATGCTCAAAAGAACGCAAAATCAGGGGATTCTGTGGAGAAAAGTGGTACTGGTGAAGAAGAAGGAGGAGAGAAGAAATTGTGGTCACATCTTGATCCTGCATCTGAGAGACCTGTATTCTTGGAGAAGAAGGTTAGCACTTTTAAAATGGAATTTAATAGTGGATGAAAATGGTTTTTGTTTTTCAGAAATATTTCATGAAAGTTGTGAAAATGGGTAAATTAATATTAATGTCGTGTTTGATAGAGTATCGTTTAAAAGAGATGATGTTTTGAATGTTTGGAGTAGAATGATTTTGGCATTCTGCAGGAAGATATATCAGCGAGTGAAATGAGAGCAAAACGACAACAAGAAGCGGAGGCTGCCATAGGAATGACTGAAGAAATGACTCTGACCAAGAAAGCACTGAAAAGGAAACACAAATTTGTTAGTTCTACTGAAGTGTTCGTTAGCGTTTATCTTTATCCAGTTCAGTGATATAGAGATTCAGTGATCATCTGAAATCGGAAGTATAAGATTTCTGCCGATGTAATCGAGCTGATTCGATCGAGTATTCTTTATAATCGCCTTTTGATTCCGTTTGAAATTGATTGAAGTTTTTCGTGATAGATTTCAGTCGAAGTTACCAAAACGGTCTTTGTTTTTGATTTTGTGATGGTTATTTTATTGTTGATATTGTTGGTTTAGGAGCGTGGAAGACCAGATATTCCGAGAGCTGGTTTGGATTTGGAGAATGCAAAAACAGTTGGAACAACTCCTGATGGAGGAGAAGCAGGCGGACCTCCAGAAAAGAAAAAATGGACTAGCGCAGCTAGTGAGCTGAGTACAGAGCCAGTTGATTACGCGAAATTTGACTCGCAAATGTTTAATGGTCAGTGACAT